GGCCACCGGGCTGCCCAGGTCTTTTTTTTAAAGATTTTGTGTGTGTGTGTGTGTGTGTGTGTGTGTGTGTGTATGTATGTATTATATATTTATATTTATATTTATTTATATTTATTTGAGAGGGAGAGAGAGAGGGAGGGAAGGAGGGAGAGAGAATATTTGTGAGTGGGGGGAGGGCAGAGCAGAGAATCTGAAGCGGACTCTGCTGAGCACAGGGTCCTACATGGGACTTGACACCATGACCCTGATATGACCTGAGCTAAAATCGAGTCAGATGCCCAACCTACTGAGCCACCCAGTTGTCCCTGGATCTTTTTATATTACATTTTCTCTTTGGTTATTGGTGATGTGTAGTAATGCTATTGAGTTTTGTTGTTTTTGACAAATTCGGCGTGTGAACTTTTACTGAGATCATAATTCAAAAGCAACTGCTAAAAAAACCATTTATGACATTTATGTGATTGTTGGAAATTTGAATATCAATTAATGATATTAAAGCATCATTGTTTACTTTTTTAAAAAGTTGTTATTTATATGAAAGAGCATGAGAGAGAGAGAGCACATAAAAGCAGGGGGAGAGGGGATCCCTGGGTGGCTCAGCGGTTTGGCGCCTTCCTTTGGCCCAGGGTGCGATCCTGGAGTCCCAGGATCGAGTCCCGCATTGGGCTCCCGGCATGGAGCCTGCTTCTCCCTCTGCCTGTGTCTCTGCCTCTCTCTCTCTCTCTCTCTCTCTCTCTCTGTGTCTATCATAAATAAATAAATAAGTCTTTAAAAAAAAAACAACAGGGAGAGGCAGAGGGAGAGGGAGAGGGAGAGGGGGAAGCAGGCTCCCCACTGAGCAGGGAGCTCAACTCAGGATTTGATCCCAGGACCCTGAGATCATAACCTGAACGGAAGGCAGATGTTTAACTGACTGAGCCATCCACATGTCCCGAGCATTGTTAACTTCTTCAGGAATGGAAGTGATACAGCTATGTTTTTTAACAAGTCCTCATTTTTTAGAGATTGTATACTGACATTTATGAATAAAATGATACATTGTCTGGAACTTGCTTCAAAGGTAATATGAAGGGAGGAAAGGATGGGAGGATAGAGGAAGCAAAAGTAGTCATGACTGGTGGATATGTGAGGGTTTATTGCTGTTGGGTTTTGTATGCTAATTTTGTATCCAGAAACTTGTGCTGCATTTTTATACTTGAGCTACTAGCTTTTTTGGATTTTCTACGTAGACTGTCATATATATGCAAATAGATATATTGCCTCTTACTTTCCAATCCTTATGCTTCTCATTTCTTTTCTTTCCTTCTTCCTTTGCTCCCTTTTCTTTCCTTCTCTCTCCCATTTTTTAAAAAGATTTTATTTATTTATTTGAGAGAGTGACAGAGCAAGCATGAACAAGGTGGTGGGGGATGGGCAGAGGGAGAGGGAGAAGCAGACTCCCCTCTGAGCAGAGAGCTGATGCGGGGCTTGATCCCAGGACCCTGGGATCATGACCTGAGCCGAAGGCAGATGCTTAACCACCTGAGCCACCCAGGCGCCCCTCTTTCCCATTTTTTTTTTAAGATTTTATTTATTTATTTATGAGAGACACAGAGAGGCAGAGACATACCTAGAGGGAGAGAAGCAGGCTCCCTGCAGGGAGCCGGATGCAGGACTCAATCCCAGGACGCTGGGATCACGACCTGGACCTGAGCCAAAGGGAGACACTCAACCACTGAGCCACCCAGGCATCCCTCTCCTATTTCATTGACCAGGACCACACTAGCACAGTGTTAAATGGTCGTGGTGATAGTAGTCTCCAGTGTCTTACTGTTTGATTAATAGGAGCACATTTGAAGGTTCTTCACTGAAGTATCATGTTTAATGTTAAAATCATGGTAGATTTTTTAATCAGATTAAGGTAGTTTCTTCCTGTTTATTTCTTGCTGCTGGAAGTTGTTTTGTTTGTTTTTTTTTTTTTTTTTTTTCCCCCTAGCCTGAGAGATAGCTCATGACTGTTAAATTTTATCTAATGCTTTCTGGACAACTAATTACTTGACCGTATGCATTTTTATCTCTTCAGTGTATTAGTATGGTATATGACATTAGATTTTCTTTTTTTTTTTTTAAGATTTTATTTATTTATTCATGAGAGACACAGAGAGAGAGAGAGAGAGAGAGAGAGGCAGAGACCTAGGCAGAGGGAGAAGCAGGCTCCATGCAGGGAGCCTCATGTGGGACTCAATCCTGGGACTCCAAGATCATGCCCTGAGCCCAAGGCAGATGCTCAAGCACTGAGCCACCCAGGCTTCCCCATTAGTAGATTTTCTAATGTTGAACAATTTTTGCCTGTTTTCCTGGATAGACCCTATTAGGCCAGAAATATAATACATGATATAATATATAGTATAATAATAAAATATATATTAAATTATGGGATTCAGTTTGCTATTATTTTATTTGGGATTTTGGTATCCATGTTCATTAGTATTTTTGGTTTTGATCTTTTCTTGCACTATCCTTGTCTAGTTTCACTCTGTTGTTCTAGAATTCTTAGAAAGTGAGAGTCTTCTTTTTTTTTCTCTGAAACAGCTTCTTTTTACTTTTAAAGATTTTATTTATTTGAAGGATGCCTGGGTGGCTCAGCGGTTGCCTCTCTCTCTGTCTCTCATGAATAAATTTTAAAATCTTAAAAAAAAAGATTTTATTTATTAGAGAGAGAATATGTGTGAACAGCGTAGGGAGGTGAAGGAGCAGAGAGTTGGGGAGAAAAGCAGTCTCTGTGCTGAGCGCAGAGCCCGATGTGGGGCTTGATCCCAGAACCCTTAGATAATGACCTGAGCTGAAACCAAGAGTTCATATGCTTAACTGACTGAGCCACCCAGGCCCCCCATCTGGGAAGTTTCTTGAAGCTTTCCTAAATCTTGCCAGTATTCCTTTTTGTAAAAATAATTTTTTAAAAAATATTTTATTTATTTATTAAATTTTAGTCTCCCAAATCAAATACTTCTTTAAAGTTTATTATTTTTGTGTGTGTGGGGGAAGGGCAGAGGGAGAGAGAGAGAAAGAGAAACTTGAGCTTGCTCCACACAGGGTGTGGAGCTTGATGTGGGGCTTCATTTCACAACCCTGAAATCATGACCTGAGTCGAAATCAAGAGTCAGACCCTTAGCTGACCGAGCCACCCAGGCACCCCTCAAATACTTTGTTATTGTTCTATTTTATTTTTCTTGAGTCAGTTATCTTATATTTTTTTCAAGTATGCTAGTAATATAGCATTATATAGTAAATAGTAAGTAATAGAGGAAAAACTTACTTGTAATTCTACCAACTTAACAAGGTAGTCTTTTTTGTAATTGATTATATATACAGAAGGCATGGTCACGGGGCAGCTGCCTGGCTCAGTAGGTGGAGCATATGACTCTTGATCTTGGGTTGTGAGTGTGAGCCCTATGTTTTTTTTTTAAATATATATATATATATATCTTAAAAAAAATTCTGTTAAAATAAAATAGGCATAGAGTGCCTGGGTTGCTCAGTTGGTTAAGTGTCAGACTCTTGATTTTAGCTCAGGTCATAATCTCATGATTGTGGAATTGAGTCCAGGTCTGAGTCTCCTTGTTTATCTCCTTACCCTTTTGTTTCTCTGCGTGTGTGTGTATACTCTTTCTCCCAAATAAATAAATAAAAATATAACAGGCATGATCTGAGTGTACATAAGATTTTTGCATATTCTTTCACTTTTTTAGTTATTATGATAGCATAATGTAAAACATGTCTATTCTCTTAAGTGAATAAACTATGTTTCAGATCATTATTCTCCTTTTTTTTTTTAAGATTTTATTTATTTATTCATGACAGACACAGAGAGAGAGAGAGGCAGAGACACAGGCAGAGGGAGAAGCAGGCTCCATGCAGGGAGCCCGACGTTGGACTCGATCCCAGGTCTCCAGAATCACACCCCAGGCTGCAGGTGGCGCTAAGCCGCTGTGCCACCAGGGCTGCCCTTATTCTACTTTTAGAACTTTTTGTTTCCAGTTTTTTTTTTAATTTTTTATTTTATTTTTATTTTTTATTATTTATTTATGATAGTCACACACACACACACACACAGAGAGAGGGAGGCAGAGACACAGGCAGAGGGAGAAGCAGGCTCCATGCACCGGGAGCCCGACGTGGGATTTGATCCCGGGTCTCCAGGATCGTGCCCTGGGCCAAAGGCAGGTGCCAAACCTCTGCGCCACCCAGGGATCCCTCCAGTTTTTTTTTTAAAGATTTATTTTATTTATTTCTTAGAGAGAGAGATAGCTCTAGTGGGTGGATTAGAGGGAGAGGGAAAGAGACAGAACCTCAAGAAGACTCTGCTGAGCATGGAGCTTGGGGCTCCATCTCACAAGCTTAAGATCATGACCTGAGCCAAAATCAGGAGTTGGACACACAATCGACTGTGCCACCCAGATGTCCCTGCTTCCAATTTTTCCTTCACAGTTCCACAGAAAGTGGTTTATTGCCTTTAGAACAAAATAAGGTGCTTTCAGAACTTTTGTCCGTGAAGAAAAACTGTTAGAACTTGAAAACTTCATAAGATATTATTTGACACTGATAGAAAGCTTCCCACTTGCAGCCTGAGCTGTCTGATTAGGTACAGCTAACTACTTAGAAGCAGGGGTAAGTAGGTAGTTGTGCTTATGATTCGTGTACCAAGTGTCAGGTCTGACCTCCTTGTCCTGATTGCATGTGGTGCTCCTCCAGCACCCACTCAGTCACTGCTCTTCCCCACCACCCTGTGCTTTGTAGTCCAGTTTGGACCTTGTTTAGGTGTGTTTGTTAGGTGTTGCCTATGGAGCAGGCAGGGGGCCAAGCTACTTTTGGAGCTTCACAGGCCAGGATCAGCTCATGAGAGCCTGGCACTATCCAAGGAGGGCCAGGACCCTTGTGCCTGGTGCTGCCATTTCAGATTCTAGTCTGACTACGGGGTCAGCATGCCTGGTATAGATTAAGTGTGAACTCCCAGCAACTACAGATGTCTAAGGCAGGAAAACAAGACTGCCAGCTTGTGGCAGCCCCAACATTGATCCTCAAGGCTGATTTTGATTTTTAACCCTGCTTAAGGAGAAAAGGGACCCTTCCCCACAGCCTTATGGGACAGAGGCCCTCCAAATGTTTTACATATTTACTCCTGTGGTAATTTAATAAGCTTTGTGTCAAGCAGTGAATAGAATGCTGCTTTGCCCATTTTTGTTGTAGGCAGGAGAACAGATCTTGTTAGGGGGACAGAGGGACCTGCTTATGGCTAGAGTGGTCTGGTTTTAGAGGAATGTGAATGGGACTAAGGGAAGGAATGTGTATAGGCCCAAGGAAGGATGAGCCTTGCTTTGCCTGTGGAGGTAGGAAAGGCTTCTCAGAAAAGGTGAGACTGGCACCATGAGTAAAGCTGCAGCAAACATCTGGGCAAAAGCAGAGTTTTTTGAGGGTGGGGTATGAGTGCTATAGGATCAGTTTACAGGGTTGGATGGCTAGGTCCTTTTGGCTGCAGGTGACTACACAGAGAAATCCAATTGTCCTGGAGTCACATTCAGATAAGTTGGCTACCTTGAATACCTTCAAACATTATGAAAAGTTGAAATAACAGTGTAATAAACACTATACTTTCCCATCTGTATTCACAAATTGATAACATATTTACCCAATTTGATTTATATACTTTTTAAAATGTAATTAATCGTAATTAGCAGTAATTCTATAATATTTAGTATCCAAACCATTTTCAGATTTTCCTGTTGTCCCAAACTGTCATTTTTCAAAATCAAGATTGGTCAATCAAGATTGGCACATTATAGTTTGTTTTGTTTTGTTTTTTTAAGATTATGGGGAAGCCCAGGTGGCTCAGCGGTTTAGTGCAGCCTTTGGCCCAGGGTGTGATCCTGGAAACTCAGGATCGAGTCCCAAGTCGGGCTCCTTGCGGGGAGTCTGCTTCTCCCTCTGCCTGTGTCTCTGCCTCTCTCTCTCTCTCTCTCTCTGTCTTTCATGAATAAATAAATAAAATATGTTTTTAAAAATATTTTATTTATTTATTTGACACAGGGAGACATCACAAGCAGGGGGAGGGAAAGGGAGAAGCAGGTAGAGGGAGATGAAGAAACAAGCTTTCTGCTAAGCAGGGAGCCTAATGCAGAACTCAATTCCAGGACTCTGAGATCGTGACCTGAGCTGAAGGAAGATGCTTAAGTGGCTGAGCCACCCAGATTCCCCTACATTTTTGTTTTTATATATTTTAGTTGCTTTTATTCTGTAATAATCCTTTATCCCCTGCTAATCCTTCCCCTCTCATGGCTGGCTGGCTTGCTTTCTTTTTAAAGAGTTTATTTTTAGGTAATCTACACCTCATGTGGGGTTCAAACTTGCAACCCTGAGATCAAGAGCTGCATGCTCTACCAACGGAGCCCACCAGGAGCTCCAATTTATTTATTTTTAAGAGTTCTGAACCATTTTGCAAACTATTCCACATGCTGGGTTAGTCACATTGTTTTCTTATGGTGAATTTAACTTGTTTCTTATATTCATTTATATTTCCTATTAGCTGGAAGTTGGGTCTAGACATCAGAATTAACATTTATTTGCAGAATGTTTCATTGGTAATGCTGTAGGTTTCGTATTGTATCACATCAGGGGACACACAAAGCTAGGTTGTCCACTGTTCCATGTATCACTTAAATAGGGTAGTGACTGTCATCTCTCACCATTTTAAAGGAATATTTTCTCTGTGAAAATAGTAAATAATTTGTAATGATTTGTTAATATCCTGTTTATTTATTTATTTTTAGATTTTATTTTATTCATTCATGAGAGACAGAGAGAGACAGAGACACAGGCAGAGGGAGAAGCATCAGGCTCCGTGCAGGGAACCCAACACGGGACATGATCCCGGGTCTCCAGGATCACACTCTGGGCTGAAGGCAGCGCTAAACCGCTGAGCCACCGGGGCTGCCCTATCCTGTTTAACCTACGCCATTTACCTAATGATTTCAGCATCCATTGATAAAGCCTTGCGTGAAGCAGTTATTACACTGGAAATTGAAGAATAGTGAAATTTTTTTTTTAAAGATTTTATTTTTTTATTCATGAGAGACAGAGAAAGAGAGAGGCAGAGACACAGGCAGAGGGAGGAGCAGACTCCATGCAGGGAGCCCGACGTGGCACTCAATCCTGGGACTCCAGGATCACGCCCTGGGCTGAAGGCAGGTTCTAAACTGCTGAGCCACCCAGGGATCCCCAGAATAGTGAATTTCAAACTTCGTCATTCTCTTTATGTTTTGTGTTTTATTAGTTGACATTCTTTTGCAAGAAGAGGCCCCCCACCCCCATTTTTAAGGATCACAGAGACTCAGATTGTTATGTGTGGTCTTACAGTCAGTTACATTCATTATTCTCTTTGGTGCTAAAATTATCCCAAATTTAGCCAGTGGGAGGAACTTTAAACCAAGCTCTTTGTTCTGTTGACACACTTCCTGTTAGTCCTTAAGTATTTTCTTTTTTTCTCGCACTACTTAGAAGGTCCACATTTATCTTGCACATGTCCTGTTCCAAACCATGTCCAACCATTTCTCCAAGGAGGTCTAATTTCTTTTAGGTGGAAGTAGTACTTAGAAGTTAAGCTCTGGGCACTGGGTGTGTTTATTGCTGCTAGAATGTTATTACTTTTAGGCCTTTTCAGTGGATAGAGCTAAGAAACAAAATTTTTGAAAAGTTGTGGGTTCATTTTGGTATTTCCAATGTAAATTTAATATTTAGTAAATATTTTGAGTTTTATTTTTGCCTTTTCTCTTATTTGAAAATCTTTGTTTCTTTTAATTCTAAGATTTTATTTTTAGACTTTTAATTAATTAATTAATTTTGGTGGGGGAGTGGCAGAAGGAGAGGGAGAGAATCTTAAGCAGGCTCCATGACCCTGAGATCATTACCTGAGCTGAAACCAGGAGTTGGACACTTAACTGACCAAGCCAGGTGCCCCTGTGAGTTCCTTTTTAATCCTCTTACAGTATAATTTTCTACTTTTTAAGTTACTTTTGAATATACATACAGCAAAATTCCCTCTTTTTTGGTGTACATATCTATGAGGGTTTTTTTTTTAAGGTTTTATTTATTTATTCATGAGAGAGCAAGAGGCCGAGACACAGGCAGAGGGAGAAGCAGGCTCCATGCAGGGAGCCCAACATGGGACTCGATCCCGAGTCTCCAGGATCAGGCCCTGGGCTGAAGGCGGTGCTAACCACTGAGCAACCCGGGCTGCCCTATGAGTTTTAACACATGTATAGATTCTTACAAACATCACCACTAACAGGATAAGAACACCTAAAGAATTCGCTTATGCTATGCCTTTGCCAGTCTATAATTATTTGATTTGATTATTTTTTTAGGATTTTACTTATTTGTTGGGGCAGCCCAGGTGGCTCAGCAGTTTAGTGCTGCCTTCAGCCCAGGGCATGATCCTGGAGATCCGGAATCAAGTCCCACGTTGGGCTCCCTGCATGGAGCCTGCTTCTCCCTCTGTCTGTCTGTCTCTCTCTGATAAATAAATAAATAATCTTAAAAAAACTGGAAAGATTTTACTTATTTGTTAATTTATTTTATTTGTTCTTTTAGAGAGAGAGAGCTCACGCACTCAAGTGGGGGGGTGGAGAGGCAGTGGGAGAGGGAGAGAGAAAACGACTCAGGGCTTGATCTCAGGACCCTGAGATCATGATTGAGCCGAAATCAAGAGTTGGATGCTCAACTGACTGAGCTACCCAGGCCCCCCAAGATATTAAGTAATCTTTACATCCAGTGTGGGGCTCAAACTCACAACCCTGAGATCAAGACTCACATGCTGCCCTGACTGAGCCAGACAGGTGCCCCTGATTTATTTTCTTACTTGTCTGTCTTCCTTATTAGGATGCAAGCTCAGTGAGGGCTGGTGCATTACATTTGGTTCTCTGAGAAGCTGTACAGTTGATCGATTTGGATACCCTCTGTAGAGGGAAATGGGGAGTGAGGTGAAGAGGCTGGGAGAGCTATCAGACTGTCTTGCAAGTCTGATCCCTGGGGAGGAGAGAAAAGGAAGGTAGGCTGCCTTCCAGTCGCAGTAGGGTTCTCAGAAAGTTTTGGCAAAGGAGATGCGGATATCTCAAGCCAACATTGCTGTCAAAAGAGTCTTGTCTCCCAGAAAAGTCTTGTCTTAGTATGCCTGCTCACTTAATCCTTGACTGAGAGCAGCTGTAGGGAAGTGTGGAGATGGCACAGAAGTCAAGTCGGGGATTGGTTTTAGATCCTTTGCACCTGGTGTCAGTTACTATCCCCTTGATAAGGATGTGATGGGTGCATTTTCAAGGCAGCCATGGGTGTGCTATCAATTTTGTTTGCCGATATATCTCTAGTGCCTGAAAATTGCACTTGGAATATAAGGGGTAATAAAGTATTTGTGGATCAAGTTCCAAATGATTGTAGGAAAGCAGTTTTCTAGGTTGTTCCGAGTGGTTACATCTTAAGCTTGCGAGAAATTTTTTTTTAATACTGCAGAATTAGATAGCAATTATGTATAGGATTGACTGTGCCAGGCTTCCTATATGCAGCTTCTCCATTAAATCTTCTCAGCAAGCTATGTTGTTTATTGTTTCAATTTTATAAGTGGAGGAGAAAACCAAGGTTCAGAGAGGTAAAAGTCTTTTGTTCCAAATTTCACAGCTAGTGTGTGGTGTAGCTGGGATTAAACTGTTGATCTGATTCCAAAAGTTGGCTATGCTTCCCAGGTGATTTCCTTTCCCTAGTGATATTTTTCTAAGCTCTCTTCCGTATTTTCTGGATTTGCTGCTAGGTTGCAAAAAAAAAAAAAGTTTTGTTTTTTTTTTTTTGGCATGAAAAGTATTAAACATTTTTCAAAATCCATGTGACAGTAGACATGTATGGAGATACAAATGTGATCTAGAGTGGGTGAGTGTGTCTTTCTGGATTAATGCTTTGATATTTTTAATAGACCTGTATCTTTGATTTATTTTGTTTGTGATACTTACACAGAAGCCTGGTTTCTCTCCTACCTTGTCTACTACACATATACTTAGTAATGTTAAGCAACAATAACAGTGGCAGCTAACATTTATCAGAGATTTGCCTTAATTGCT